TTCCCTCCTCGCCACCTTGTGCAGGTAGTGACCGAAGCAGCCGTGCCCGGTCAGCACCTGCACAAGGTGGTACGACAGTGGCCCGTGGGACCGGTTTACCCACTCTACGAGGACAGGGCGGATCGCCTCTATGGTACGAGCGCCATAGGGGGGGATCCGCCAAGCCCTCTTTCCACCGGTCCCGCATGCGCTGCGCCGCGAGGCGGCGCTCCCGCTCCACCTCTTGGGGAGCGGGTCGCTCGCCTCGGTCCCTCATTCCCCGCCGGTAGGTGCGGACCTCCGCCAGGACCTCGGCTTCGAGGTCCCACGGCGGAGTACCGGCGAGGACGCATGCGTGTGCCTATCACCCTAAGTACCCTATAAGGCCCTAGTCTTATCCACATAAGTGTGGCTAATAAGTTAACAGACGGACGGGGTTAAGGAAATAAGTGTGTGTTTACTGGGGTGGTTTTCCTCGCTGACAGTCTAGCAGACTCACAAGACCGACCGTCTATTGACGGCTAAGGATGTCTTGGCCACAGTGAAAGGAAGCTGGCAGGAGATAAATTAGACTCGACTACTGTTGAAAGACTGATTTTTAATAATAAATTATTACCTATTTATACTATTTTACATTTACACACACTTATACTAAAATTGTCTCTTAAATCTAAGTGTAAATCACTAACGTGGAATGTTGAATGGTCGTTTGAACGTATCGATTGTTCGATTGATGCATTTCAGTGCATTAAAAAGAATGTGTATAAAAACAATTATATATATTCACAGTATAAACCAGTTATGAAGAATTATTTAAGTTATTTATGAAAAAACTAATCGTTATGAAAAAACTAATCGTTCCATGTCCAAATGATTGGCGGACTCATTAAAAAGTTACACTTTTACTAGCAACGCGGCGGCGAGCGTGCACTGTTTTCATGCACCATACATTTACATATCACGCGATAGATGTTTTCATTATCTAACCATTGGAGTGTATCGAACTTCGTAATTTCTTAATTGCATGTAAAACTACGCTTTACAATTTAATGGTAGAGTGTCCGTTAAAATTGTAGCTGTGTAGTCTACGTGATCTTGCATGATATACCGGCCCATAGCTACTATAGATGAACTCTTCGCATGCCGTCTTTTGTGAACCATCTCCCGTCTGCAATCATGTTTTTCTTTACCGTTACGGTCAGAACATTTTATCACCTCAATGCGAAGTCGGCTTCGTGATACAATACGATATGGCGTAGTGACGTGAAAATCCAGATGTCAGGAAGAAAAGAAAATCTAAGAAATTGCTATATGAATTCCGGTTTATACCGGGACTGCGATATGGCATCGTATCACAACAACTTGTGTGAATGAAAGCAAGTGAAAATTTTTAAAAAAGCTCACTTCAGCGCGAAAAGACATAGGTACCGGTGCCTTAACTCGACAGTAGGCAGAAAAGTGAAATGAGGTCTCTCACAGTCATTAACACACAATCCTCGGGTAAAAACGTATCTTCCCACATAGATTTGTTGGGCAACAATCTGCCCCCGCACACACGGCGGCATGACGGTTTTCACCCAAATTAAGTGGACTGATCAAATTTTATAAGGAGCTAAATATAAATATCTAAACACATATAGTCAAATGAAGGTCGACAACATAGCCTAAATTTTTGGGACATATTCGTGTGTATATCTGGGTCAAGTGTTCGGAATATGAATTAGGGGCAATCGAAATATATTCGCCGCAACTAAACTAATTTTTTCAACTTCCAAGTAAACAGAAAAACGACATTGGTTCATTCATATGCAGACAACAACACACGATTAATAATCATCTGATAGACTAACAAATCAGTAAGGCAACTGCCTTATGAAAGCGTTTAAACGCGTCATTGAACGACCGACATACAGCTCTTTATGCGCAGGTCGTTGAACTAGCGTTTAGTGAGATTACGCACGACTGTATGGAACTGTAACTACAATAGGACGAATGCTTGGCGACCATCCAGCACTGAATAGGTCAGGTGAGAGGAGTTGAAACTTCAGTGAAACTTATTGTTCTATTTAACACGTAATAAAATATTAGTATGATTTTATGAAAAAAATGTGATAAAATTGTCGTACTATAACAATGGGCGTAAACAAACGTCGAGGTAGACCCAAAAAAGTGAAGCGGCGAAAAGATGCGGGAATGTTAAACAACTTTGTTTCATACATTGTATATATATTTTGATTTATGTTGTATACATAAATCGAGTTATCAGGTTTTCGCGATTGTTACACATAGGAAATGGAACTATTTTTTCAGATTTAAATCGCGTGCATTTGTTTTTTGTGGCGCTGGCTGACAGTCAGCCGTGACAATTGGACCAGTAAAGGGCCCGAAACGTTGGCTTGTTTGAAAAAAAAAACAATTATACACGATTTAGATCCGAAAAAATAGTTTCATTTTCTGTTGTATAACCACGATTTAGTGTAATCTGCAACTCACTACCTGTTTCGTCGGTTAAATCAATTGATATTGCAATATCCCGAAACCGTTAAGTTTTACGATGGCTTCGCAGCATTATCTTTCATTGAGGTCGGCAATCAATAGTCAGGCCAAAAATAAGGCGTAATTCGTTAGACCTTGAAAAAGTTCTATTTTGGTATAAACCCCGGCATTACCAACTTAAAAGCCATTCTGAGGTTTAAAAGGTGACGTTGTATACCGTTCCGAAACTAATTTTGAACATCGTAACTTTAAACGTAGACAATGGGTTTTGCAAAGTATACTATATCGTATGTTCTATGAACTTCATACTTTCAAGATTAAGTATCAGTTTTATTTCATGTCTTGCTTTAGTTGAGAATTTTCCTATTGACTCGTTTTTTCATAATATCATTTATAGCATACAAATAGAGAGTGCTAAAGGAACGGGTTATTTTGCAAATGAAAATGTAAACGCTTGTATGAAACAATATAATTAAACAACATTCATCAACAAATTATACTGCCCACTGCGGATTTTTTTAATGACAAGTGACGGGACGAACAAGTCGTGCGCCTGGTGGTATGTGACCGTTCTGTCCTTAGCAGTTGCATCCTCAGACATTAGTTAACAAATCCTATGTGCCTGTAATTTCATCAGCATTCTACCCTAACAATGCTCACAATACTACTTGACGGCAAAAATAGGTAAGGCACTTCCCTTCCAAGTCTTTCACAAGGAGTTCCACTGCTACTAAACTCTTTCTATCTACCTAGGATCTCCTCTAAGGATAGAGTTTATCGTAATGATAACGCACGTACACTCGTAGTCTCGCACTAGGGAAACCCTGAATCGCGGGTGCATGGACACACACATAGACAACCACAAGTTACACCCAAACTCACGAGAGAAATAAATGTAGGCCATACAAATATTTCTCTCGGCCAGGGAGCTCTGCGTGGCAGTACAGCATGGTAACCGTTCGGCTACAGTGGCGTTGATCGTAGTCCCTAGACTGCGGCCCAGTGTGGATTGGGAACTTCACACGTTTTCCAGGGGCTGTGAACCATGTTCGAAATCCAGGTTTCAACACGATGTGATAAAGTTCGGGGTTTGAACCGTTTCGGCTTCTCAACTCAGAAGCTATCGTTCTTTCACTGCGCTTCCACCGAGTTATAAAAATGCTTGGGACTTGATGGTGGAATTATTCTATGATTAGTAATTCTGTAACAAGAAAAAAGTCTATGCTTAAATGTTTGCTTTTACAGTGACGTATTATGTAAATTTGAATGGTGTAATCAAATAGCAACTTATCTCGAGATACAGACGCAAACTTTGATGAGGTCATTTACGATTTGTTGTAGTTTTTGTGATAGATGAGGAAATGACACATAATACATAAATTAAAATTTAAAAAACCTTGGTATACGGGCTCTACTCCCGTTCTCCGTCTGACAACCGTCCGAAACAATTACTGTCAAATAAGTAATACTCGACCAAATCATAAGACGCATGACGCGAATGAAGTTTCATACCTAACATGTCTTTGATTTGATCGAGTAATACTTATTTGACAGTAATTGTTTCGGACCATCGAGTAAATATTATCAGAAATAGAGACGAAATAAGGACCATCCTTCCCTGGCAACTCCTCAGGCAAATGGGCCTTATATCACTTTTAAATGTCAACTCTCGTTAGCACTGAAATCACAAATTAGAAAGCTGAAATAGTACAGCGCCAACAACTGACCTGTGCGTACGTCTCCGTATATTCCAAAAATATTCTGTATTTATTGTAATAAAGATAATATCTCTAACGATTGGGGGCTGTTCAATTCGGTGGTGTGGGAAAAACAGCAAAACAACTATTTACAAAACAAACCGAATCACATTTCATCGGTAATTAAATATTAAATACGTAATTTTTCAATTTTCGTCCATTATAGCAAAGGTTAAGTTAAATTGGTCTATTTGAAGTGAAACTTTTGTTGAAGGGCTGGTCAATGGGAACGCAGTTGTCATCGTAATCATTTGGCAGAATAGTTTTCAAACAAATTAAATGATATTTCGTTTCTATTTCTGGCTATATATAAGATGTCAATAAAGTCATCATCTTGTAAGCTAGCAACTCGAGATCTATTTGATGAGCCCAAACACGATAGTTCTACTGTAAGTACTTGAGGAGTTGTAGTTTGCAGACTGTCATGGTTGCAGCAACAGATCACGGTCACCACATTATTGTAATGTCATCGGATTTCCATAGTATATCACATTTCAGGTGAATCAGACAAGTGGAATATAAATAAAAAATATTTTATGACAAATCTCTACACTAAATGGGAAAAAAGTTGTTTGACCTTTAAACAATATAGCAGATGAGAACCATTCCGATTAAACTGACCTTAAAAAAGTGCTTTGAAAATAGTTCATCCCTTTGAAAGCCACGATGTTACTGATATAGAAAAAGGCATCTTTTTCCATCGAGGCTAAAAATCCAGGAACTTTTTTTTTATTTACCTGGTTATATACCGACAAGTCTTTGTTTCAGGTACAACAGCAAATGGCGCGCGAGTACGAGCAGCTGAAGGCGACCGTGTCAACACTGCAACGATTCCAACGCGAGGGAGAAAGGGTCGTCACTGGTGCCAGTAAGTTTATTTCTAATCGACTTTAACGTTCTCAAGTTGTTACCCAGTGGAAATACAGAGGCCATGAACGTTTTCTCGCTCGCCAAACCTCTCGCCTCCTGCACTCGCATTTATATGTCTCATACATACCAGCTTATTATTATAGGTCGTTTTAAACTTGACTTTTACCTCTCGTTACGATTCCAGCCACAATCCTTCTGTAAATGTTAACCAGCAATTTACTAACATCCATGTTTTCTATATGACCAAACCATCAAAGCATTCCCTTTTTATCCTGGTATCAGACCGTTCTCCAACTACTAGGCTCTTCCGCATTCGGTCTTAGAGTATTATTTTATAGTACAATTAAACAAGTATGTTAACTTCATACAAACGTAGTAGCGTGACTTGCATGTTCATTCATGCACGCACACATTCGCATAATCTCACGATGCATTCGCGTTGCATAGCGTTGATCGTTCAACGTGCTTTTCATTATTATGCGAATGTGCGCGTCCGTACAAGGCGCGCTGGGCGGGCATGCCCACATACAAGGCACGCTGCTACGTTCGTATGTAGTTACCACAGGTGTCTTTTTATACTATGATAGTTATGGTGGCTTCATTCCAGGGCCTATGCAGCCCTTCATTATTACGACTATTAATTGATCTACGTTTTAAGAGTATCTGCCACACAAAATACTTTAAAAAAAAGGACGATTGGAACTGTGAACAGCAGTACCATTCGTTCTTTTTTTAATGTAAACAATTTTGATATTGTTCAATTTATGGTCAAGTTGGACAAAGATACGTACGCTTCACACCCTTTTCTCATCGGGTTAGGAACTGACCACAGCATTCCATTTGCTACGATCTCGCTGTGCGTTTTTCGTTTCGCAAAAAAATACATTGACTCAGTTCCATGTATTGTTTCATTACACCAGACGACAATAATCTAGACAGCAAAAGGTGGTAAAATGCAATATAAACATTGCAAACGGGGAATAGACGTGATAAAATCGATTTAATCAATATCTGCATATCTACTACTATCCCTACGCTTCCTCCTGAGAATCTCCTCCTTTTTTTGAAGTCGGTTAAAAAGTAGCTTAAGAAATGACGTTTTCAAGTGTAAAAATTTTACCTATGGAATAAATGATTATTTGAGTTTGACTTTGATATAGAGCCCGCAGATAAAGTGATCAAAATGTGTGCCGAAACTCACGAACATAGACTTCATTATCACGGTAACATAGAGGCTATACTGCTACTAGACAATACCAATATAGTGCCTAGACTACAAAGAATGAAAACTGTTGAGTTAGTGTAGTTAAGTTATAGTGAGTAAAATAGATTATGGAATTAATAATAATAATAACGCACCCACTTAATATAGCCCTGCACTAGGGAAATTCTGAGTCGCGGGTGCCCTGTAATGTAATGTAATGCCAGTGCTAATTAAACTATGAACACTTGAAGTGACTTGAAATTGTGTTAAATTAAAATTGCTTATTATTTTTGTAAAAAAGGCTAGATTATATAAGATTTTATTTTGATTTATAGCAAATAATTTAAAAAAAATTAAGCCGTTAATGTAACCTTTACTTCGCCAAAGTAAGTTGCACAACTGAGTGAAATGCCAGTGGCTGTCACAAAACCAGTCCTTGATTGTTGACCACTTTTACTTTCGTGTTTTTGTGTTACATCTGCTTGATAATGAAACTACACAGCATCCGTAGTAAGATGATCTCTGACGTCTACATTTTATTAACACCCGTCATCTTAATCTTGAGTGCCATTGTCGCATTTATTAAACGCCATAATTTTCAAGCTTTAGCCGTCAACCCTCTTTATAAAATTTGACGTCTGTCCGTGGAAGTCGTAGATAGCGAACGAGGGATAATTCCAGGAGGTAGATTGCAGCATGTTAGACTTATGCTTCAAATCAGAAATGCTTTTCTCCACTTTATGACGAATGGTTCGATTGACTCGGGGATAATGAATTAAAGATTATCGAATAGTCGTTTTCAACACCATACTCTTGAACACGCCCGCAAAAAGTAATTTTTAGTAACAACGCGCAGAGAAAGGGTCACGTAATCACTGCAGTCGTTTTGCTTCGAGTAAAAGGATTGTGGTTTCCGAAAACTACAATTTGATAGAACATGCAACAAACGAATGAACGCCCGCATAATTTGCAAATGTCCGCTCAGGGAGCAGTGATCGTTTACGTTAGACGCGAACTCTATGTCATTAACAATAAAGCCGTCTCGAGTAACGCAGCATGTTCACCCACATCAGCAGGTCATTTAATAGTGACCGTATACTCGTCTGCTATCTCCTACGAAACGGGTTTTGAACGTTTGCGTAAAACTGTATTTATACACTTTTTTTAGTGAATTAGTAGTCAACCACGACTTTAACTCACGAGTTTACCTAACTGGCGGTTCAGTAGTTGCAGAACTAATAAGTAATATAAAATATGCAAATAAAGCAATGTTTCAAAAAAGAGGACATTCAGGATTACCTTTTTTGTGCAGTATTGTACGACATACCCTAATTGCAGTCACATATTTCAAGAACCATACAATATATACACGTTATTGCATTGCTTAGTAAATACTATGCACTTGATTGTACAACCCTATTCCATATACGAGTTTTTTTATAACAAGGCAAGTATGATAACTCCATACAAACGTAGCAGCGCGGCTTGTATATCTACACGTCCGCCGTATACGACGCATCCATTCGCATGAACTCGCAGTGCACTTGCATTGACCTGAATTTATTATTATAGTTCTTCAATCTTCACAACTATACTGCCCTCCATGTCATAAACAACGCATTTGAATTAATAATTCATAATTCAAAAAATAGTGAATGAAATCAATATATATATGCGACTATGAACTGGCAATCGGTACTATCTCAATTTTGACAACTTAACAGTATGAAAAAATAATCGACCTCAAAAGTACGTCGAATTACATCTGATTGCCAAGTTTTATTGAAATATCCCCTAGTTCGCCAATATACAGGACTTGACACAGGAGATAATAAAAATCGGTCCTCACTACTCAAAGTATATTGAGAGAGAAAAACGCCTTGAATTGGAGAATAGCAAAACCAACCATTAAAATAATTGTTCATGCGTGATCCCTTTAGGATATTTTTTTTTTTTTTCATTTTCTTCATAATGAAATGGGACCACTATGGAGGTGCCCTCTTTCCAACGAAAAAGAATCACGAAAATCGGTTCACAAATACCGAAGTTATCGCGTAACATTTTTAGTTATTATATATAAGTTATTTGTATGTACAAAAAAAACATACAGTCGAATTGAGAACCTCCTCCTTTTTTTTGAAGTCGGTTAAAAAATTGTTTGCGTAATTTGTATAGCATCTGGTCTATTAAATAAAAATACGTAGGTTTTAGATGTGTTTATTACACATGTATGTATGTATTATGTACACTACGTATTTTTATTTAATAAACCAGATGCTATATACATTATTTTTTCTTCATCGTGTAAAGTTGTCAAAATTGAGAAAGTACCGGTTGCCAGTTCAGTGTCGGTATATTCTCGTTTATAAATGGATGATTAAGTATTATGTATGAATAAAAATAATCTCATTATTTGCAAAAATATCCATTCAGTATTTACTTTTGAAATTTCAAATTGTGTTTTGTCAATTCAACAATTTTGAGTTGTAACACTATTGTAATAGCAGTGCGTTAATATTGGCACCTAACGCCTTTTTTCTTCGAAAAATGACAATTACTGTGATTTGCTTAACAAGAACTATTACTTAACTGAAACTAAATAAGGTATAAAAAAACGCTCACACGGGGTTGTAGAGATATAAAATAACGCCATCATGGGGGGTTGTAGATCTAGTTTCACTGATTCCAAATATCGCACCTTTAGAATGGAAGTGTGATCTAATTCAAAATTTTAACAAAGCTTACATCCTAAAACGACTTTAAAAATCATTGTTCATATGGCTCTTAATGTGGAACTGACATTTTAAAGCTCGAATAGCACAGAGTCGCTATATGAGTCTTTTTCATTATATTTTAAATTTCACTTTCGCGTCGATATGTAAACGCCACATTTGTTATTGGACCTGTGTCTGCAAATACAACACGCACCACCTTTGGCGAAGAAATTAATTTTCGTTCCGAAAATCTTTATAACTTAAAAATGTCACAACTTAAAATCCAAAAAGTTCGAATTTTACATTGGATCACTTTCATGCTAAAGATGCGATTATGTTAATAATTCGATTACGCTAAAAATGTCGATTACTTTTTTAATGATAAGCACATCAGTATATTAAACTCCACTCTACAGCATTACCATATCCTTGTAACCAGACTAAAAAATAGCTTTAAATAGTTTAGTATATTTTTAATACTGTTTAATTAAGTGACTCAGTATCACACTGTTATGTTGCCGAGACTGAAAACCGCAGTTTCGAATTTCGAAAATGCCAAAAAATCGTCGAGAATCGCAAAATTTTCGAATCTGAATTTTTCAGGATAAAAACCCTATTGAGTACATACTAGATGAATGTCGACAACAAGTACGAACGTAGAATCAACCAAAATTGGCATACACATGATATTGATTTGTTTTAATCACGCACTAAACCGCGACCGCGATTACGAGTTTGATCGATCGTAGCGTTCGCAACAGATAAACCGAACAAATTAATTACATTTGTTTTCAGTCACGTTTAATTAAAAACCAAGTAATGCAATTACGCCGAAGGCACACTCGACACTCGACAGAAATTTTGGCTTTCATTGAAGACTTGAACCAAAATCACAACGAATTGTTAACATGCATGTTTAACATAATACCAAACGGGAATAAACCCGATTAATTTTACAGTTCTCTCCACCGATCGATACAAGAGTAGCATGAGAAGCGATAGAGATTAGAAAATCCCAATAATATCATTCGGGATTCTTTCAAGTTGACTCCAGTATTTTCAAAAACTCAATATCGTTTTTCGCGCACGACTTATTATCACATTTCACATTACGGCATCAGTACAAAACAGGGACACTGTTAGTGTTGCGCGTTTGTTTTGAAAAATATTGCGAGGGTGAATGAAGAGCCTATCCAGAAGAACCAATGCCCGTGATCAGATCACAGCCAGTCCCATATCTTTTCTACATAAGTTTTGCTTGTGGTGAACCTCCCTATCAACCTCTTGATTATATGGGAAGGGCACTATAATCTGCACAAGCACTGCACAGGAATCTTCTCAGTCAGGTCCTGACCCCACATCAGCCCGTTTACACACACTTCATCCGGTTTCAAAAGGCCAGTGCCTTGGGTGAGCTGCCCCGGGTGAGTGTACAGTACCCTCCTTATTTTCCAGGTAAGGTACTGGAGCCTAATTAACTGTTACCACCACTAAGTCGTTGACTCTAAAGTCCACTACCAAATCTCCTCTTTGGTGGCGGAGCTGTAGACAGTCTCTCCAGTTCCCAGAACCTACGCGACTGGAGGGGCCGGAGGATATCAAGCTCATCTTCTACTAGCTCTCCGGTCTAGTGTCGGAGACGCCAGACGCAGTGTCCTGTGACCATGTCCAAACGTAGCTTCCGACTTAAAGGGCAACACACGTGTCCCGTGCGTCTCGTCGCCTTGACCCTCGTCTAGATCGTTACTAAGATGCGCTGGCTGTGTGCACGTGTTCGTTCCTACAGCTACCACAATCCCCAGCAAGTCCATACCCAAGTCTGTATTCACCAGAGACGCCCGTGTAGGCGTATCACTGGCGGAGGGCTAGACACAGACGCCCGCCGTATCCTGGTCTTATCGGGCAGTCCGCTGTCTCCCCGTAACTCCCTAGCTCTCGGGTCCGTAGTTAGGGACCGTGTGCAAATATTACTATCCCCGATTTATAATGTATACCTATAATGTAAAGCCAAATTTAAAAAACCACTACATATGGATCATGTTTATAATGTTCCATTCTACGTTTCCAACCACGTCGTCAACCGTTTCTGTAAAGTGAACTACGTAATTGTCATATCAGATCTATCTAAATGTCATAAAAGATTGACAAGAGTTTAAGTAAATTGAGAAAGAAGTTTAAAAAGAAAACGATTTGCACCCGCAGTAGGTACATTAAGAGAATATAATTTATGTTAAGAATAGTCAATTTTTTTATGAAATATTGTGATAGACATAAACATTAATACAACGAATAAAATATAAAATATCTGTTCTTGACAATCGTTTTCACAAAGTCACAAATGAAGGAGCCATGTATACAATACATACGATTTTATAATAAGATTCCGATTGATATTTTGTTTCACTGTAGTTTAAAACTAACAAGAACTTTACATAGGAAATGAAACTATTTTTTTTAACAAAGATCAATCCGACTACCACAAACACGACGACCTCCGTGGTCGAGTGGCTTGCACACTGGTTTACATGGCCTAGCCATCTCAGAGGTCCCGGGTTCGTTCCCCGGCTGGGTCAATGTAGAAACTAAATTTTCTATATTGTCTCGGATCTGGTTGTTTGTGGTACCGTCGTTGTTTACGATTTCCAAAACACAAGTGCTTTAGTTACTTACTTTGGGACCAGAACAAAGTATGTAATATTATTAACGTTATTAAGAATTTGTTACTCATTACTTCTTATTCTCAGAGGAATCTGCTTTACGAATGAATAGTAGAGTTTAGTTGTAATGACAAAACTTTTTTTAATCAATAATTTAAAGTGCAATAGTTTTATTACGAAACTGAGGGTGTCGGTAAAAAAAAGACTGGATCGAATGAGTGATTGGAAAAGGAAGTGGACAACTGAGATATTAATCCGTTGATGGCGAGAGCGTAATCACAATTAAATTTTGTAATTTTACGGACATTGTGTGACATAGTTGCGAATTACGTAATAGTGGTGCGTGTGGATCTATTAAGTTACGGGGTAAGTGTTTGCACTGATAGATTGTATTTATTGTATGAACAGGGTCGTGACTTCGGAGACTAGGTTCTACCAGAAGGTGTTCCACACATATTTTATCGTGTGACATTTTGTCCACTGCATGTGGGAAAGCATTTTCCCGTTGGAAGGAATATAAATATATACAAAAATCAATAAACCCAGCGAAATTGTCGCTCTAGACGATACAGTAGCCATATTTCGCCACAGTTATGGAAGCGTAAATGGTCTAGCGGTAGAGCGGTGGACCCCGATGTTAACGAATGTGAGTTCAAATCCAGCCTGCGGACGATTAATTCTTATTTTTGTATGATCCTAGTTTATTTGGCCTATTCTACTAGTCCCTACTAGTTGTCCTCTCTGGTGGGGACAAGTGTATTTTTTTTCACTCTTCCGTACCACATTCACTGGTTGGGATAAGTGGAATTTCACTTCCATTCTTCCGTTTCCACTTATTCCTATCAACAAAATCTCTTGACGTGTACGGTACAGTTTCGACAAAAATATCTAATTAAATATTCTCAGTAATATCTTTTTGATCGATAATTGTAGCTGGTGGGTATAAGAACTCTTTATTGACTGAGTCACGATAAAATAATAAAGAAACATGTAACAGTCAATATAAACCTGAAGACGTTTGCCGACATCGTAATTTTTTATGTATGTCGATGAATGTCGTTGTTGTTGTTGTTGTTCGTCCCGTTGTTTGATATCATAAAAAATTAACTAATGAGAATAAACGATAATTTAACGAATTTTTTCCAAAAATAGCCCAACATTAATATCCCCGTTCATCAGCTGCATTTGTATATCTTGTATGGCTTTGTGGCGGATTATGCATTTTCATTCCCTTGTCTTTATTTGAGGGTAATTGGTGATTGCAATGTATTTGTTCCTGAGAACACCAGATGCATATTTGCTGCAGTTTGCTCAATAATTGTCGCAAATTTAAATTTCTAGAACGCTTATTGTTGATTTTAAAGTGCCACGCTTGAGCGAAATTATTAGTGCATTGTCTATACCCAAAGACGTTCCATCTAAAATTCCTCACTTTTAAACCACCATTTATCATAACCCATGTCAAAATACTAGATTTTATCCCGATGGGAAAAAGGCGTTAAGTATGTACGTATGTATGTATTATCAGAATGATGAGTTCTAATTTAAGCAATGCTGTTTGGGTGCCTTCAAATTAGACGCTTATAGAAGCGTTCCAGGGGCGCCACTGTGGCGCTGCAGCCGCGTCATCACTAATTTTCATACAATATATACAAGCGCAGCTGCAGCACCACAAAGATATTGTATGAAAACTTAGTAGTGGCACGGCTGCCACGCCACTGACGCGCCACTGCACTGTTTATATTAGCGTCTAATTTGAAGGCGCCCTTAGCAGGTAGTGAGTACCTTGTTTTTAAATAAATATTTATCTTTTTATTGATATAGTTTTATTCACGACTGTACTTGTTAATAGAAACGGTTAGGTAGGGAGAAGTGGAAATGAAATTCCACTTATCCCAACTTGTGATTATTTCAAATTTAGGTTTCTTAGATTTTTGTAATTCACTCACGTCATTCATACGATCCAGTCATTTTTCTTTTCTTTTTACCGACACTCAGTTTTGTAATAAAAATATTGGACTTTAAATTATTGATTAAATGCGAGTTTTGATGTTACATAGTAAATGTGACAATTTCAAGTCTAATTTGCTTACTTATGAAATAAAGATGATTTCAGTTTGACGTCCGATTTACCTAAATAACATTACGTAACGAAACGTTTCATTGTATATTGCCCACGTTATTGATTACTCTAGCACTGGACACGGATTAAACTTATTTTACAATAGGTCTCAACACTGGTCTTTTCCCTTTCAAACAGTTTTATCTGTTACAGATATGGAGGATTTCCCGACTCGCGACCAAAAATGGCCGCCGGCCCGCCACGAAGTGGACCCCGATGTATGGCCGCCACCGCCAGACAGGGACACCTGGCCCGCACCTACCATCGTTGAACACAAGTATATGTCGAATTACAACTTCACGCAGTGAATTGAGCAATTAAAAATAAAATAAGTTGACCATTCATATGACTTTGACATCACTTGAAGCGATGTTGATAACTTTTTTATAAAAAAACCGACCTCAAAAGTTCGTGGAATTGCATCTATTTGCCAAGTTTGATTAAAATCGGTTACCGGAAATTGCTCGAAACCGGATTCATCGCCTATTTTGCCACCTTTAGAGGTGGAATATTTTCTTCAAATGTAAATGGGACCACTACTGAGGCACCCTCTTTCCAACAAAAAAGTCCAGTCGAATTGAGAACCTCCTCGTTTTTTTGAAGTCGGTTAAAAATTCAATCTTACCAATCCTACTAACTACCTTCTGAACGTGTTATTTCGATCTTTCTTATTCAATCGCTCTAAAACGGGCAAAACCTTTTACTTTTTTTTTATTACGCATAACACGGAGATTTATCTTGCGTAAGATACTGTCAGGTAGCATACGTAATTATCAACAATCGAAATAAGCAGTGCAAACTGCAACTAGTACACATAGTATGGCTAATATCCCTTTCTGATATCCTGGAATGGTCAAAAATAAAAGATAACAAAATGTTACATATTCATTTTAATATTTTTCATCGAAATAAGCTACTGTGGCACTGTAATAGTTACACAAAAAAAATTTCGGGATTTCAGAGAGGGAGACACTAACCACTCTATGTGCATACTACCTTGAAGTTAAGGGGAATATATTCTGTCTATCGGATTTGCGATAATTATGTTAACATGTATATTTGCAGAGGGCCAACAATGATAAAGTCAGCGCGTCTAAAGCAGCAGACGCAGCCGGGGAAAAACGCGAGAGTGGAGAAAAAGCAGCCCCTCAACACTCGAAACCCCACCACCTCGCAACGCAAAACCGCCGATACGCGGAATCCCAAAACCGCGCCGAAAGGTCATAGTGGTTAGTGTGAATACTATATATCTCACTGCTATTACATAGTGTCGAAACTCAAATTCATGGATTTGGGAAAACACATTTTGGAAATTCAAAGAAATACTGAATCGATCTTATTGCTAATAATGTGATTATTTTTATGTCTAAATAAAATACTTCAGTATCTATTTATAAATGAGAATGAAAAATTCTGCCACTGCCGTTAATTTCGCATTCAAAACACTCAAAATATTATTAAATACATACATACGCCAGTGTATAGCAATATCAAAAACTTAAGAGGGAGCAGAGGAAAAATTCCTAATCTTCGATTTGATTTTAGAGGGGTATATCCACTTTAAAGTTAAAAATAAAATATTGTATGGTTATTCTATTATATTATTGCACGATATATTCAAGCATAGACATTAATCAGAAACATAAAACAATAAAGTTTCCTCGATAGATAAAAATCACGAAATGACCTCTAATTTTCACATTTTTTCGATTTATCCTCGAAATGCTACAGGTTATTAGGACAAAAATTAGATAATTAATTATATTTATGCATGATCGACAACTGTCACTACGGATTTTTTTGATCCCTTTAGTTTTAGAGTTATTCCGCTAAAATGAATTTGGTACTTTTAATGCGCAAAATTCAACATCTCCTGTCGCATGTCACGCGAACTTCAGGCATATATTTGTTTCACAAATTTGGTCGGAGCCAACGTCAAAACTTTTTTGGCATGAGAGCTCTTAA